GGGATGTGTGGTTGACGAGCCAGTGCAGGTGTGCCGATCCCAGTGGCCGGCGGCGGATGGAGCAGTGGGGGAGAGGGCACGATGGGCAATGCCAGAGAGTGACGCTGCGTGGAAAGTGACCCCGGGTCTTCACCGACCTCATTAAAGCATTCAGTTGCCGAGGGGCCCAAGTAGAAGAAATAGGGAGTTTAGAGCCTGAGAATTTTGATGAAGCCAGTTCATAGGTTGATTTTTCTTTTTTTAATTTTCTTTTTATTATTTATTTTTGGCTGCATTGAGTCTTTGTCGCTGCGCGCGGGCTTTCTCTAGTTGCACAAGCGGGGGCTACTCTTCGCTGCGGTGCGCAGGCTTCTCATTGCGGTGGCTTCTCTTGTTGCGGAGCACGGGCTCCAGGCGCACGGGCTCAGTAGATGCGGCACGTCGGCTCAGTAGTTGTGGCTCACGGGCTCTAGAGCGCAGGCTCAGTAGTTGTGGTGCACAGGCTTAGTTGCTCCGCAGCATGTGGGATCTTCCGGGACCAGGGCTCGAACCTGTGCCCTGCATTGGCAGGCGGATTCTTAACCACTGTGCCACCAGGGAAGCCCTGATTTTTCTTTTCAAGTGGCAGCCAGGAGAAGAACCAGCAGGCTCTGTGGCTCAGGACTCCAGACTTGACATGATATTTTTTGCCAAGCGGGTAATTAATAATGCTTGTGCTACTCGAGCCATAGTAAGTGTGTTATTGAACTGTACCCATCAAGATGTCCATTTAGGAGAGACATTATCAGGGTTTAAAGAATTTTCACAAAGTTTTGGTGCAGCTGTGAAAGGTTTGGCACTAATTCGGATGTGATTCGACAAGTACACAACAGTTTCGCTGGACAGCAGATGTTTGAATTTGATGCAAAGACATCAGAAAAAGAAGATGCTTTTCACTTCGTCAGTTGTGTTCCTAGTAATGTAAGACTGTATGAATTAGATGGATTAAGAGAAGGACCCACTGATTTAGGTGTATGTCATCAAGATGACTGGATCAGCACAGTGAGGCCAGTCATAGAGAAAAGGATACAAAAGTACAGTGAAGGTGAAATTCAATTTAACTTAATGGCCATTGTCTCTGTCAGAAAAATGATATATGAACAGAAGATAGAAGAATTACAAAGACAACTTGCTGAGGAGGAACCCATGGATACAGATCAGGGTAAAAACATGTTAAGTGCTATTCAGTCAGAAGTTGCCAAAAATCAGATGCTTATTCAAGAAGTACAGAAATTAAGAAGATGTAAGATTGAAAATATCAGAAGGAAGCATAATTATCTGCCATTCATTATGGAATTCTTAAAGACTTTAGCAGAACACCAGCAGTTAATACCACTAGTAGAAAAGGCAAAAGAAAAACAGAATGCAAAGAAAGCACAGGAAACCAAATGAAGAGATGCTTTGGGATGTGTACACATTTCTGCTTCTGCACTTATTTTCGAGGAAACCATTAAGTATAAACTCTGAGCAACACCCTAATCGACTCAGCGCACGTTTGACAATAGTCCCAGTTGGTCTCACCTTCAAGGCATGGATTCATAACCTCTCCCTGCCTGCATCATGTGCATGTGGTGCATATTAAATAAAAGTGGTGTTCAGAAAAAAAGAAAACAATTAGTGACCTCTGCCCCAACCACCTGGTAAGCACTAGGTGCCTGCTACCCTGCTCTCTCTGTCCTGCCCACTGATGACCTGGGAGTGAGGGCTGCCCTTCCCCTGGCCCATTGTGCCACCAACCCCCCGCCCCTCACCCTGTTTCTGGGATGTATAAGTAACAAATTGTTATTTTTACTTCCTCTCTGTTGCTTTACTGAAATTGTCCCTTCAACCAAAACAATCCCAGGGTTTTCACTTCCCCAAAGTGGGAGCTCGGATGCCAGTACCTGCCGACCCCAATCCATGTAGGTGGCTTGTGCCTCCTCTAACCTGCATATTTTTCTTCTTTTTTTTTTAATTAATTAATTTATTTATTTTTGGCTGTGTTGGGTCTTCGTTGCTGCGCATGGGCTTTTCTTTAGTTGTGGCAAGCGGGGGCTACTCTTCATTGCAGTGCACTTCTCTTGTTGCGAGCATGGACTCTAGGCACACAGGCTCAGTAGCTGTGGCACACAGGCTCAGTAGTTGTGGCTCAGGGGCTTAGTTGCTCCGCGGCATGTGGGCTCTTCCCAGACCAGGGCTCGAACCCATGTCCCCTGCATTGGCAGGCGAATTCTTAACCACTGCGCCACCAGGGAAGTCCTCACCTGCATATTCTTAATTGAACACACCAGCTCTGGCTTCTCAACATAAAAGTTAACTGAACTTAGAATCTTTTTTGCTTGGGAAGCTTTAGGATCTCCCTAAGACCATATGCCAAAGATTAAACACTTGTTGACTTCCGCAATGACAAACCAATGGAACCTTCCTTACCCACATCTTCTTTGGAAGCACGGTGGAGGGCTTAGGAGGGTGACTCTGGAATCTGGACCCACCCAGGTACAAATCTCTTCTTGGGCCCTGTGGCCAGTTGCCTCACTTCTGCAAGCCTCACTTTGGGGAAGACACCAATATGACCAATCTCATGAGTTTCTGGGAAGATTAAGGAAGAAAATGCTTAAAGATGCTTTGTACCTTTAGCATTTGGTAATGGAAGGCCATTATTTTTTGTTTGTTTGTTTGTTTTAAATATTTATTTCGTTTTGGCTGCGTCGGGTCTTAGTTATGGCGTGGTCTCTGTAGTTGTGGCACCTGGGCTCTCTTAGTTGCCCCGCGGCATGTGGGATCTTAGTTCCCCGACCAGAGATTGAACCCACGTGCCCTGCAATGGAAGGCAGATTCTTAACAACTGGACCACCGGGGGAGTCCCCATTATTGTTTTTTAACATTGAAGAGCCTCTGCCCGGATCAGGGCTGTGAGCTCAAGAGTCTGTTTCACAGCAGAGAGCCTGGGAACCAGGCGTAGCAGATGCTGCAATCCGGATAAGAGGAAATGATAAGAGCAAATAAAGCCAAGGACTTGAGTGTTTAAGCTGCTCTTCAGAAGAATTAAAAGAAAAATAAATCCACGGTCCAGATGCAGAGTCCTCCCGCAATTCCCATGGGTGGGTCCCTGGCAACTATCATTTGTTTCTGACTTCTGAGCTTTTGGACCCTCCTCAGGTGCACCTGGAAGGGAGATGCAAGAAGAGGCCATGGACAGTGTGACAGGGGAAAGGGGGGTACTTCTGGGGAGGTCAGGGCAGCATGGGGTATGCTGCTCTCCCCGCCACATTCTGGTTCTGCAGAAATCAAGTCCAAGGGCAGTCGAAAAGGGAAAATGAGGTCACAAAACAACGCAGCTGGAAGGGAGTGTGGAAGGAGGTGGCGAGGGCCCACTCCGCTTGGGGTGGCGGATGCTGGGGCAGGAGGAGATGGACAGAGTCTGCGTGGGCCCCTCGCTGGGACTCAGGCAGTCTCAGGGCAGTGGGGCTCCAAGAACGGGAGGAGGAAAGGGTTGGAGCAGCGCAGGCTGAGAATCTAGTCTAGGAGTTCAGGTTCTGATTCTGCCATTACAATGTAAATGACCTTAGGGTATTCGGTTTTCTTACCTGTGAACTGAATTCAAAAATACCCTCTCCTTGGGCTTCCCTGGTGGCGCAGTGGTTGAGAGTCTGCCTGCCGATGCCGGGGACACGGGTTCGTGCCCTGGTCTGGGAAGATCCCACATGCCGCGGAGCGGCTGGGCCGGTGAGCCATGGCCGCTGAGCCTGCGTGTCCGGAGCCTGTGCCCCGCAACGGGAGAGGCCACAACAGTGAGAGGCCCGCTTACCGCAAAAAAACAAACAAAGCAAACAAAACCCTCCCTGCCTCTCCACAGCTTCCTGGGGAGATCTACAGGGAGAGATCTATGGGGATGTTGACATGATTCTTTTAGGGTCTCTCTCCCCCATTAAA